TATATACATCTGTAAATGCCTTGATAAATTGGTTTTTTAAAAAGTTCATACAATGAAATAAAATAACAGTCTTGAGAATAAATTGGCTAACGGAAGTGGTCTGCTACTTAAACCTATACTTATAGAATTTCAAGTCGAAACCATGTCGAGTACCTGCACAACCTAAGAATTAACACTCGATACCGAAAAACCCTGCGCAATTTTCAACAGGTTTTGGAAAACTCTTTTGAACTTAAACTTAAACATTTTTCACAATGGGAATAAAAACCTGCGCAATGTTCCACCGCCCTATGATTGGACTACAAGGCAGGCAAATAGAGCAAACACACACAAGGAAAACAACGAACAGTTGAGTGAGTGAGTAGAGAGAGAGAGAGAGAGAGAGAGAGAGAGAGAGAGAGAGAGAGAGAGATAGGTGCCCACCATGTTTTATGGCACTTGCAACACAATAAGGTAAAATAGATTAAGACGATAGACTGTTTGATAGGAAAGAAGGAGCAAACCATACCAGAGCACCCGACCATCTCTCACTCTAGAACTGTGAGAATAATTCAGCTTGGGGGAATCGGGAGCATCTTTTTAGGGTTAAATAAATAGCCAAAGAAAAATAAATTTAAAAATTAATCAAAATACCAACGACACAGTAATTGCCATTTTAAAGAAAAAGCAAGACAGAAACAGAGATAAAGAAAGGAAGTGGGATCTACCAGAAGGACCCCTCAACCACTGCAAGCAAAACTGCAAGCAAAACAATAAAGCGCGGAGAACGACATTGGCAAAAGTTTAATTTTAGTAAGAGTTTTACGGCACTTGCAGCACAATAAGGTTATATAAGTGCCCAAGATTAGAGGTGTTACAAGAGAGTAAAAAACACAAAATAGACGGAGGGGGAGAAAAGGACGATAGACGTTTGATAGGAAAGAAGGAGCAAACCACAAAATGAGCACCCGCCAACCACCCGCTAACAAAAGTTTAGAAACCCTATACGAATAATTTAAAAAGAATTAAATTTAAAACATTAACTTAACTTGATAATACTTTCACTTAATTCCGTTTTATCAACCATTGCTTTAGTAATAAGAAACACAAAAAATCAACACACAAGAAGCTACTCATTCAATCAATTAATTGCTCAAGTGGAAAAGTAATAAAATCCCTGTTAGTTGTTAGCATTATCATCTTCTGCAAGGCCTGGCTCTCGCCGCGCTATGATTCCAGCTCATTTCATTATTAATAATGTGTTTATATCATTATTGGCAGCTCGGGCTGGAGCAGTGTGCCAATAAACTGTGAGCTCTTCTCGGCCGGAAGGTCATCATACACACGGGACCTGTCGCGGTCGGAATAATTAATGGCTCTCGAATGGCAGCTTTTGGCCGGCTCACGGGTGGTAGATTTTTGGGCTGTTCACTTCGGGTGCAGTGTGTTTTAGTTTTAGTAAGAGTTTAACGGCAGGGTGCAGTGTGGTTGAGGGTTGTAGTGAGGGGTGGGGGTGGGGGTTAAATGGCTAGAGAAGGGGTGAGGAGGACGAAGAGCTAAAATAAAAATAAAAGGGACGAACAAGTAAGGT